AATTTACTTATAGAACAAGCTATATCTGGTCGAGTACAATTCATGATATATATTAAACATCCCAACACACGGACATAATTCAATTGTGATATGCTTTGGCCTTTATTCTTTACAAGTGCAAGATTTACGTCAATTGGAGTCTTTGCATCTTTAAAATCTAAGTGCTTGAAGTTTTCAAGTATTATTTTAATGTAATGAGATTGAGACAATGCCAGACCTTGAGGAGTCTTATGGATCTTAATACCCAGAATTAAATCGGCAACTCCTAAGTCTTTCATATTAAACTTGGTAGTTAGCATACACTTAATCGCATTTGTGTTGGCAATATCATTACTCATTATAAGCAAACAATGACTATATGATTTGGAACATTATTAATGTACACACATTTATCACATTCATTTATATTAAAACTATTTGACAATATTGTTTGATCAAATTTCGCGCCATTATTTGGATGTTTGTTTTAGTCCGTAAAGCGACTTAACAAGTCTACATACCTTTTTTTCTTTATCTGGAATCATAAATCCTTCAGGTTGTTCCATGCAAATTTCTTCCTCCAAATCTTCATTTAAGAAGGTCGTTTTAATGTCAAATTGGTGAATTTCAAGACCATATACCGCAACTAATGTTACTAACATTCGTCTGGACGCAATTCTTATAACTGGAGAGTATGTATCAAAATAGTCAAGACCTTCTCGTTGTCTAATACCTTTTGACAACAAGTCTTGCCTTATATTTGTCAATAGTACTATTATCTTTCATTTTCCTCTTAAAAATCTATTTAGAACCCAACTGTATATTGCTTGGAGAAAGATCAACCAATTCGCACGTATGATTGTTCAGTATAGATTCTATTTTACTATTGACTGCCCTTTTCCAAAATAATGATTCGGAAGAAGACATAGCTTCTTTAAATGTTCGAGGCTCATTTTCCAATAAAAAAGTCACAAAATCTGGTCCAAATGAAGTAGACGTTCTTTGACATTTACTACTTCTTGGATTCTCTTGATTATACGTACTTTCTTTTGTTTCTTCCCGAGGTCATTTAGATCCTTCATCAATCGACTCACATTCCTTTTTATACGGATATATATTTTCGAAGAATTTAGCATTATCTGATTCTATAACTGTATTATTATGAATGTCGAGATTTTCTAATTTATGAACCAGAAATCGATACGTTTTACTATTGGTTGCATATTCTATGAAAACACAATCAACAATTTTCGGTCCTACTTTACCCGTTTGAGTTTAGGAACTTGCACTTTTACCAAACACGCACACTTTAAAATAATTCAAGTTGGTCTTCCTTCCTTTCTATTTTTCATATAGAATGAATTGCGTTTTGCTATTGGGTACATGGTTTAGTATCCGGTTAGCCATAAGAATGGCTTCCCTCCACAAGTTCTATGGTAAACCAGAACTTATCAACAAAGCATTCATCATCTCCTTTAATGATCGATTCTTTCTTTCCGCAATCCTATTAGATTGGGGCATGTAAGGGGCTGTTGTTTGATGAATAATTCCATATTCTAAACATATTTCTTCAAAAGGAGATTCGTATTCACCACCCCTGTCATTGTCTATCATTTTGATTTTCTTGTTAAGTTGCATTTCAACTTCATTTTTATATTGCTTGAATGCATCTATTGCTTCATCTTTACTATTAAGTAAGTAAACATAGCAATATCGAGTAATGTCATCAATAAAAGTTATAAAATACTTCGTTTCACCATGAGATGGTATTAACTTCATGTCGTAAATATATGTGTAAATTAAGTCTAAAGGATTTGAATTCCTTTCAACTGACTTATAAGGAAGTTTAACATACTTAGAGTTCACACATATTTGACATTTTGATTTGTCGCATTCAAGCTTAGGCAATACTTTCAAATTAATCATTTTTTGCAAGGTTTTATAATTTACAAGTCTCAAACGTATATGCCATAAATCATTTGACTCAAGTAAGTAAGAAGAAGTAAATTTTTTATTATTGTCAACAACCAATTCAGTTTGAAAAGGCCCTTAGTTAGGTAACATTTTCCTAAGCATATCTCGTTCTTACTTATTACAAATTTGTTTGAAATAAAAATACACTTAAACCCATTCTTTACGAGAAGTGAAATAGAAACTAAGTTCTTCCTTATTTCAGGAACATGACAAACATTGTTCAGAGTCACCACCTTGCTAGAGGTCATCTTCAGGAATATCTTTCCATAACCTTCAATTTTGGTTGTTGCAGAAATTTTCATAAAAATGGTCTCGTCGGGTCCAACGGGAGCATATGAAATAAATGCTTCTTTAACAACACAAACATTACAGGTGGCTCAAGAATCAATCTACCACTCCTTAAGATTTCCCACTAAGTTACATTCAGACAACGTAGCGCATACGTCATCAATATCATCATTTGTTTCAACCATATTTTCTTTACCCTTTTTCTTCTCTTTCTTTGGAGCGCGACATTCTGTAGCTTTGTGTCCAAGATTTCCATAGTTGTGGCAGTTTTCCTTGAATTTCTTCTTGCTGGGATAGTTCTTTGGTCCAAAAGGCTTTTTCCTCTTTTTTGAATTAGTTGGAGCAGTCTCAACAATATTTGCTCCCTTAATTATTGAGTTTTCACGTGTCTTCTTTTCTGCAGCTTTATTGTCCTCTTCAATCCTCAATCGAACGATGAGATCTTCGAGTTTTATCTCCTTGCGCTTGTGTTTTAAGTAGTTCTTAAAGTTCCTCCATAAATGAGACTACTTCTCAATCATTGCTGCAACTTGAAATACCTCATTGATAACCAAACCTTCAATGAAAAATTCGTAATTAATACTTTCAACAAAAACATTTATTCGGATTATACCTTCATCAAGGAGATCATAATTGTAACTTGTAGCTCTTGAACTTGTGTAATGACATACTTGCTGTATTCCATCTTATAGTCCAAAAATTTGGCTGCAACAAACTTCTTCAAACCGGCATCCTCACTTTTGTATTTCTTTTCCAATACATCCCATAGTTCTTCGAAGTTTTCACATTAATATAGACGTTGTAAAGATCATCTTCTAGTCCGCTAAGAATATAATTCTTGCATAAGAAATCTGAGTGCTTCCATGCCTCAGTCACAATAAAACATTCATTTTCAGGAGTTGATTCCAGCAGAACCGAAACGTCCTCCTTGATGAACTTGTGTAGACTCGAAGTAGTCAAATAGAAGAACATCTTTGTTGCCAATGTTTGAAGTCAATCCCGAATTTTTTTCGGGCTTTTCCGCCGGAGATGGTGGCACAGAACGACTGGAAATAACAACATTGCTCGTAGAACCAACCACGGGGGTTCCTATTTCTGTCATTTTTGTTAGTCACAAAACATAAATCAAATTAATTAACGTTGAAGTATTTAAAATCTTCGACCGAATAAACTTTAACAGAAACATATTAAATATCACGATGAATATTTAATATCTTCAAAACGAATACACAACTAGTAGAAAATCACAAAGATTTTAATCTCGTAATTGAGTAGAAAGTCCCAAGGACTTTAATCTCAACCAAGGACTAGAAAATTCGAAGAATTTATTCTCCAAAATGAGAGTAGAAATCACTAGGATTTAGTCTCCTACAAACAGAATATAAGATGAATACAAGAGAAAAATATTTAAGTTCCTTACGCTTGTTAGTAATCTGTATTCGAAAATATATTCAAACCAGTAGCAATATAAAATCAGAAATGTAGAAGAAACAGATAATTAATTCGAGCCCACTGAGTTCACAATGTTTCCTTAACTTAATCCCATCGTAGTACCCGAGGTTTAGGATTATTTTTTCCGATAATAGAAGAGATTACCCTCACTGGTGTAGCGGTACTTCAAACCCCAGTGACCAACGAACTCAAAGATCAGTAGCAAATCACACTTACTGCTTTTTTCTATTAAAAAACTAATGCAGAATGAAGAAGGAGAAATCAGAATTTTCGTAAGGAAAATCTGTGGGAAAGTTCATGTATTTATAGCCAAAAAGTTGAGTATACTGAAGAGTTGCAACTCAAAGTGGCTGTTTACGCAAACCGCCAGATTTAAATTATAACGGAAAAATAAAAACGGAGGAAAAATTAAATTACCGTTATAGAAATGGCTAATTTGGATTGAATAATATTGCATTAATCTTAATATTAACAAATAAATTTGGTCCAAAAAATTAATCAATCAAATTCGAAGTCGAGCGAGCGACGACAACTACGCGAGGCTTGCCTTCTTCTCAACTCAGGTAGAAAAAGCGCAATTGTATGTATACCCATCAAAACTCTTTTTCTCCTCCAATATAGGACAATGTCCCTTTGTCAAAGAGGGAAATTTAAATTTTTTTTTCCTCTATTTTTCATTCACTCTATTTTTGCTCTAACAAGCTTAAACCCAACAACTACTACACAGAACCACCACCATCAACCGAAATCACAACAAACCACCGTCTCTAGTCGGCGCTCGCAAATACTTCCTTTAGCCATCACCACCATCAACTACCATGTTTATATATATAAAATCCCTCAATTATAATCGCTATCACTACCAATCACCACTAACTACTACCCAAAACTGCCACCAATCAAAATCACCACCAACCACCGCCTCTATTTGTTCTTAACAAATGAAAAAGCGAAGTAAACGATCAACAAATTGCTTTGGTCCCATTAAGAAGCATGCTATATCTTCATAATTTGACTCATCGCCAAAAATGCACAAAATGAACTTGTCAAATATCAAATAAACAAATCTTTCAAAAATCAGCTATGGGAAACCTTTTCTTCTACTGAGTACTTAATTTTTATGGATATTAAAACATCTTCTATGGCCACTTGATTTAAAAAAAATCAATGAGTGCGGTCCCAAGTCCCAACGTCTAAGCAATAAAAATCTCATTACGAAAAGAAAAAGATAAAAAGATTTTTTAAAAAAGAAGAGAAGAACATTAAAGATCCAATTTCTATTTTAAAAATCAATTCTGTGGGTGTTCACAAATAGTGATATTATAATAAATATTCCTTTTTAGGCACTCTACAATTACTCAAAATTCAAAAAGTAGAGGCCTAGTGGTTTTTTTTTTCCTGTGACGTTTTATGGGGAAATCGGTTCTTTCGCCAAATAGAATCCAAGATTTTGCCAGAATTATCAGCAGCTCCAATAACAGGATCCACGGCCCGACCCAAGTCAAACCACCCGCATCCAGAATTAGGTCAGTTCCATCCGCAAAGTCCAGGGCGGTGGTCGGCGGCGATTCATCGGAGCGGCGGCTAAAGTTGAGGACGAAGAACATGGAAGAAGCAAGCTCTAACTCCAATTCGAATACTTCTTCGTCGAACCAACAGCGGCAACGGGTACCCCTTGCTGACGTGGTAGCTGACTGTGTGAAGCGGTGGTTCCAGGATACTCTCAAGGAGGCTAAAGCCGGTGACATTAGCATGCAGGTCCTTGTTGGTCAGATGTATTATAGTGGCTATGGTATTTCCAGAGATGCACAGAAGGTGATTGATTTTTTGCTTCCGTTGATTTTTTTTTTGGCTTGTCTTAGTTCTCTATATAGTGCTCGTAGTTTTCTTATAATCTAGAAACTTAGTGATGTATAAATAACATACTTTAGAAATTCATGCTTTCTATTGACAAGAGAAAACCCCATAAAACATGTTGTTGGAGAGCATTCTGAATTTAGAATTGCATTGAACTTTTTTTGTTTTGATGAGGATGGTGTCCGGGCCACTTGCATGCTTGATTATTCCACTTGGTACCTGCTATCTACCTTAGTACAAGTACAAAAAATAAAAATAGAGTAAGCTTGTCACAGGTTCACTAGAAAAATCCCTTTGTAGCACAGGTACCGGGTAACACTGTCCACCAATACTTAGGTATATAGGAAGAAATTACCTAGGGTTTTTTGTCTGCGTGGAGTTTACAATTGAACATTTGACACTTTTGTGCTTTTATAGAGTGAAGTTGAACTGTTGAACTTTGGGAAAAATGGCTGAGAGCAAATGTTTATCATTGTCAAGCACATGAAATATCTTCAAATTTGAAATTCAAGCTTGTGGTTGCCTTGTAATACTAGAAGATACACATAATTAAGAGAATGTGTCCTCTATGTGAAGACAACAATGGAATTGAACTCGAACTCTTTAATAATTCAAGAAAAGAAAAAAAAGAAAAAGAAACTACAGTGTGCCTGCTCAGTTCAAGTGCTTATTTTCTTCTTAATCAAGGTACACAATAATTAAGACAACAATGTACGTGCTTACTTATCTTATCTCTTATTCAAGAAGTGAAAAACCAGAGTGTACCCGCTCAATTTTGTCTATTCTCACTAAAAGTTGCTCAAAATTTTCAAAGTAAAAAAGAAAATAGCACCAATCTTTCATCTGCCCAGAATTAGAGTTCTAGGTATGTTTGAAAGATTGACAGTTTTTCGGTTTTCTCTCTCTATTTGTTGTGTCTGAGGATGTGGGAAATGCTTCTACCGATTGATCCATTTGGGTACAGGGAAGAGCTTGGATTAACCGAGCTTCAAAGAGTCGGTCATCAGCGTGGAAAGTGAGTGATAAACGCCCAGGTATGTAGACGTTGGGTTTACTGATTATATTTGTTTGGCATTGTTGTATATTAGTCCAATTGTTATCTTTTTTTTCCTTTTTAGGCTATAATGCTAGTGATTCTGATTCTGATGATACTGTGGAGGACGCAAAGTAAAATTGAAGCACTTTTCACGGGTAAAACAAGCTATAGCATCGTAAGTTCAATTGCGTTAATTTCTTTCACCCTTGTTGTGCAAACTTTTGAAGTTACGGTCTTGATCTACTTTATTTCTTAGTTGATTGAAAATTGTTGCACTTGCTAGGATGTCGAATCTCATGTGGTGTATGACAATGTCACTCTAACTAGATTACTTGATATTTGATAATTTCTTTAGGTGTTTGATCTCCATCTCTCCTTATTAGTCGGTGGACTTAACTTCTTTTGTTAGTCGTGATTGAGAATAAAGTTGAAAACTTTTCTTTAGGGTCATTCTCCACGCTAGATGTCAGCCCAAAATTGCATACAGTTGCTATTACCCACCATGAAGCCAAATGAACTTAGAGAAACTCTTTCTTCCCTTTATGATTCCTTCCCACGAGCATGTCCTGTATGTTGCATGAGAACAATACCTTCCTCCACATGGCATCTTCCAAGCATGCAAATCTCCATAGCTGATTTTCTCATCAGAGTTTGGTCTAATATGTTCTTTGCAGATGCCCATCGTCCTGCTTTAATTGGGGCTATGATCTTATCTCACCCTACAAATGCCAGCTCCTTTCTCCATAAGCTCCACTGCGGGAAAAGTCCTTTTGTAGTTTTTCAGTCCTCATGCTAATCGATTCTTGAACAATGATATGAAGCATGTGGGGACACTTATAAGTGCCGCCTTTACAAGAATTTTTTTGCTGCCCTCAAACAAGAATTGTCTATTCCATCCTTCCAATCTCATTCAATCCTCTGTATCATGGTAGTCTCAGTTCCGTATCCTTAAATTTTCCTCCTAGAAGTAGGCCCATGTATGTTAGCCAACTTATACCACAAGCTGATGCTAATTCTAGAATGCTTTGTACTTCTCCAATCAGTAATAATTATGAGTTTCCCAGGTTAACGTGTAGTCCAGATACAACTTCAAACCAAATCATGTGCTGCACAAGAATCGTACCTGTCTTGTCTGTGCTTCAGAAGATGGACAATGCCTCTATAAAAGACTGAAATAGAGATGTCATCTTGTTCCTCCATTGCTTACCTCACAGCCGCTCAAGAAACCTCTAGCTATGGTTGTTCCACCAATCCACCAATGATGTCAATAGGTCTACTACCTCTACTCAATTAGTCAATAAATGTATATATCTCGATTGCCAAGTAGCTATACGAATCCTCTATATTCCGCTTTATTTACAATATTTAATTTCAAACTGTATAAAAAAATTGTTTTTTTAATCTAAATTTAGAAATTCTCTAAAGCTCACACTCATCCCTACACAAACAAGTCTAAACCAGAAGATTTTCCTGTAGATATCTGATCTAATGCAAGCTAGAGATCCTCACAGCAGATACTCAAAATATTTCCACCTCTTCTATTTTCCGCGAAGCCCATTCTGAGAAGGACATATATAGTTCACATGGTCATAGAACATTTTGATAATCCTGGTTTATCACATCTCAACGTCTAGCCTATTGTCTCATTAGCAAGCATACTTGCATCCAAAATCTCTCTCCCCCAAACAAAAGCATTCTGATTGTTGGATGTGAGCTTATAATATGAGACCTTTACTGACGACACCTTTGCTACATACAAAAGTCAAAGTAAACTTTTTTTAATACCCAGTGCCCCCCCTC